ATAGAAACAAGAGTGGAAAGGAGCCATTCTAAGACTGGCATCGATGATACACGAATTATCCGAAGTGATAATTGGCAACGGGCCCTTGGGAACTACTTGTAACACCAATTTGTAATAGTAAATCTGTTCTTGCATTCGTCGGAAATCTGAAGTTTTAACCTTAATTTAGAACTTGCCAACCCCTTCTAGCCTTTAGAACCCATTGTATTTTTCGTTCATCACACAGTTTGAATGTAAATAATTTTCTAGATAAGCCACCCAAACATTCAAAATCAATAATGTAAGAAGGAAAAAAAGAAAGAGAAAAAACAATATGGAAACTGGGGTCAAATTATACCTTATTTTTTGTTATATTTGTGTCCCAGATGGAAATAAGTAAACGTTAAATATTAACAGAAAGATAATCAACAAATGTTCAACTTAACAAAATGCGAAAAGTTTTCGAGTGTTGTTTAGTTAACTTTCATTACAGTTGAGGGTGATGTGTTGTCGTCAGACAGCAATTACATCTACTTATATCAGATGTTAGCTCGAGAGCGAGGCTAGTTGATTACGGGGTAGGCGGTGCGACTAGGATGTGGCATGAACATGGCCAGGGTAATTGCTAGGTTTCAGGTTTCGCGTGCATCGAACATGTCATATCGTTTCCGTGTTTATAAATTAATCAACGCCACTCTGACCGGTTTTTCATCGCAACTGTGCTCGATTTATTAATTGTCCATAACATGAAATAGATCGATAATGCCAAAAGTTTTGTTTATCTTATTAACGTCACTAAAAATATGCATCAAAACAAGTAATAAGAAATTTCAACTATGTACTTAAAAAACAGAATAGTTCTGGTCAACTTACGAAAAGTTACAGAGTTAGTTGCGGAAAATTCTAAATATTCAAATTTGCGCGTTAGATAAACATTACACATTGTTTGCCTCTATTTTTATTTTATTTTGACTGAATTTAGTAGAATAAACCCCGGTACTCTTCACAAATTATCAAGTGGATATCCAATGGTGGCTATATAAATACATAACTATATCGTAAGGTTCACTTTGGTTTAGAAGCCATGTATAACAAACAATACGTGTCCACACGGTGTGTTACTAGATACCCATGAGAAAGTTTACCAATTTATTTTGTAACAAGTCATATAACCTAACCCACCACCTTTATAACTGGATATCTATGACCTTGAATAAAATAATAAATAATGTAACCTGGCTTGACATTGAATATTGTCATGTAGAGAAAATCATAATGTATGGGAATTAGTTAGGTGATTTTTTAATTGTTTTAAACTACTAAGTCGGTCTGAAATTCTTATAATACTATCAGTCTGGACTCGATTTCCTTTGATCCTTATCCTGCTGAATTTCCTAAATGGACTTGTCAAGCTTCCATTTTTGGAACTGTCCATTATCAATTTCGGGGATATATAAATGAAGATTTGAAGAAAGTCAGCCACCAATACAGAGCCCGGTCACAGTGCACGGATGTTCAGGCTGACCTGGCTCTATACTAGAATCAAAGTTTGTTAGTTTCCATTCCAGCCGTGTAAGGGTAAACACAGCTGATTCCAAGAGATTCTAGCTAACGAACAAAACCTTCATTAAAATAAACTAACATTTCTTTATTCTGAACTTAATCTGATAGAGCAATTAAACAGTACTGTTGACTAAAACTGTGAGCTATACAGTTCTTTAATGGTCAGTACCATCTTTTGTATGAATACGTAGAAGAAAGAATATGAAAAGCTCAAAAAGAAACTTTTAAAACACGTCTTCATTCAAGCAGGAATAATTTCTAAAATGTGAATAATATTTTCAATACACTGACAATATCGATATTTGCCTTTATTACTCCGGTTGCCCGTTCAGATGACGATATCAAGGGACGTAACCAATGATGTCAAAGTAACCGTAAATTTTAATTATGGTCGTTCTTTATATATTTTTTATGCGATTCAACACCCATATAGCTAATAAGTAGTCCAACTAATTAGACTTGTCAAAGAGACACCGAATAATTTTGGACGGACGCTGTCTTTTTCCAACGGTTTGACAGTAAGAAAAAAAAAAATGTAAAATGGGTCAAACCGTTCACGCCGAATTAATTAGGCTAGCTAATAAGCAACACATTGCCGCAAATATAAAGTTTGATAAAAAAAGGTTACGGAAACTTGTTTGGAAATGCAAGATGGAATATCAATACTTGTTTAAAGTGATGTGTTTGTAAACAGAACATGTCAGGTGATCTGTATATTATTATATTCTAACTGTTCATAATGTTTACATGTCATTTTAATTATAAAATTAACACCCGTCGCTTAATGTAAATGATCACTTATTTTCGGGAATATCAGAAGAAAAACAAAACAACACGTCAACAGTCTGAGAGCAACCTATGAAACTTAAGAAGTAATTGAACCATCATTCATGTCTATTTTATTTTACATTACTCCCCCTTCTGGGTATTTTTACAACATTTAGCATATCTCCTGCCAAAATTTTATCTTAAATTTGTACCAATAAATAGCCAACTGACAGAGACCGTTCAGCAGCCGTGGATTGCCGATACGTAAACGAACACTTCCGACTGTTTATGTTTCCTAGGCGAGCACGCGTGGGAAGTCTATGTGCCGTCCCAAATGACCATTCAGCGAAATGATATTTTGATGATAGTTTAACAATCGTTGCGGTCAATTATCACTCAATGAGGCATGGAGATAAGATAACTCGCTCATTCCAATGAAAACGGAGATAAGCTATCTACATTCATGACAGTTCATTATTTTTACAGTAACAAAGTACATGCTTTCAACAATTTGACACAGTGAGAACAACTTTAAAATAAATATTGTCAAAATGATTAATCTTTTTTTTTCCTTCTTGAACAAATAAGATCTACATTCTTTTCAATGGTTTATGTGTAGTCCTGTAGGGCCATAAGGAGCCTGAGACAGTCTTGAAGTCCTCAAAGCGGAACGCGACCACATTATTAGAAATACCTTAGGTTTGGAGACCACGCTTAAAATTCGCAATTGTCGCGCTAATAAAAAATAAGTTATTTTTGATAGAAAAGGTGTTCGTGTTAAAATGACATTAACTCTACTTTTCGTCCCATTATGAAGAATTGTAACTCTGCTTTGATATGGTAAAAGATCGAGAAAATGTATTAATATGCGGAGAAATGCATTACAATTTAGTAATTTTGGTACACATCTGCACTATTTAATATTCTTTTTATTGTAGTTTTATTTCGATTTCATTCTTTGATGTCAGAATCATACTTCTACACATATACCTAAGACACATTAAATGCAGCAGTTATGGTCATTTTATTGTTGAAATAAATGACCATAATTAACAGTAATTAAGATAAATTACTGACCAAAAATGGGTGGTCAGTCCGTTTTTAAAAGCTAATGGTCAGATGTTATTTTAGCTAAACACTTACCTATAGCGCTAGAAGAATTCTTAACTGACCATCTGTTTGTTATCATAAAACATTTGTTTTCCGACAAAAATAAATTAGTTTTCCACTCAAGGCTTATGTTTTCGACATGTTTTCATCAATGAAAAGATTATTTACAAATCGGCCTTTCTAATGAAGATGTGCCCGTGCTTCCTTGATTAATATATGTCCCGGTCAGACAGGCATGTTATTAGAGAGGGAAACAAGAGAATGTTTAATTTTTGTAGAATTGATACATTCTGCGAGATCAAACGGTTTTAGGATGAAGTGAGGATTTTGTGGCCTGATGTGTTTCTCTTAAGTATTTATAGGAAGATTACTCGAAAACATATTTTGGGTATCGATGGATATCGATTACACGTATGTCGCTTCCTACAAATTAATAACTGTATTAAAGATAGCCTGAACGCCTCAGTTTCATTTTTTATGAGTAGCAAATGTTTTTATTGCTGAAACGTAGAGAGGAACTACTTTTTTTAGCACATGCAGGCGTAGAATCAAAGTATAAAATTTATAAACAGTCTTGTTCAGTTACGATTTAGTTTGTAAACAAACAAAAACAATGTCTTTGAAGTTCAGTCCGTGGGTTTGAGAGTAGATACACGATCATCTTGCCAGTTGTTTGGGCCAATGTTTGTTAGATATACCGGGTTAAAGTTTAAATTTTACAAAACACGCTGAAAATAAGGTACCACAAACTATACTGGGTAAAAGGACAAAAACAGACGGGAAGAAAAGCAAAGAACAGAAAGAAAGTACCCTTAATTTGAAATACAACTCTATTGCTATGATACATAAGAAAGATCTTGATATCATATTATTCAGTTGCATGTACATGTATAAGAGACATTCTAATCGTTTTGGCATTAATCTTACACTCCAGCTTTCGCCTTAAAAGACGTCTGTCATGCGTCCCCATGTTTTTCGTGAAAATCAACCATTTAAGTGCAGGGCCCTTACAATATAAGTGTATAACAGTGTACAGCGTATCTTGAACGATCTAGTTCATGTATTCGTTATATCAGCGAAACGCAATCATTATAAACTGTACCTGGGGAGAGGACCGTTTCACACTAGTAAATTTCCCACGTTCGAAGTTTGTCAAGCCGGAATTTTCAAGCAGACTATATATTTATTATCAGTAGATAACTTAGATCACTTTATTATGATATACATGAATAAATTAACGATATGTTTATTTGATCATAACGATTTTCTGTCTGATTACTTCATTTTAATTGTGAAACAGAAGGACTTCCGCGTGTATTGTTTAATTTGTATGCAAACAAATAAGCGAACTGTGTTTTTTTTTGTACGTCGCGAACCGTTGATGATTCTGCTTTCAATCTATAGTGTATAAAACGTAGAAATTTTTCATTCATATGACATCGCTTATGAGTAAATAAAACAGGAATTCACATTTGGTATGGTCCGGATTGTTTGTATCGAATTTCACACGGGTACAGACTTATCTAATTCTATGTCACATTGTCTAAAAAGTGTAAAATATTCGAGAACTGTTCACTTACGTCTAATGCTCTTACAGTGGGTCGGGAACGAGTGTCACAAATTTAAATCCACACGGTGACAATGCATCGATCTGCAAAATAAAGATATCCATGATTTAGGAAATTAATGTATTCATCATAATCTATGTGCTAAGGTTACGAGTAATTTAAAACTTTTAATTACCAAAGTAAAATAGGAAAAGAAAATTCGACTACGAGTCTTTTCAGAGAACTTACTCTGTCCCACGACCCCTTGACTTTAACGAATATGGTAAATATTAATCATAGAAATCAACACAGTGCTTAATATAAACGATGATTATGTTTTTAATGTTCATTATGGAGAGTTGCATCTTTGTAATGATTTTAATAGACATTAACGTTCTATTGGCATTCTTTTCGTTGAATAATTGATGAGGTATTTTTACCATCAAACGCGGAAAGCGATTGATAATTTGAATTATAGCTTTCATTATAAAATAAAGACAGCGATAATGTGCGCATGCCCTGCACCTTTGATTTAATCTCAATATATAATGTTCAATAAGTCATTCGATCTGAAAAGCCATATGTTCAAAATAATCTTCACAACAAACTGTTTACCTTGGCTATAAGGGCGTTCTGAAGCAAGTCTTCGGGTTTACATATATTCCAATTTGGTTACATATATTACACATATAATCCAAATACCTTTCACATTTTTTGCAAAGAAAAGGTGAATGGTAATGAAAATTAAAAAAAAAACTTTTGAAAATTCACTGTAAAAATCCACTTTGGGATAACAATATATATCTATATATATTTATATAATTCCCCCTGAATAACGAGTATCAGTTGAACTTTATTTTAGCACTTTCTTCACCGGAATCCTTTTATATTATAAGCAGTATCTAATAATCAAAATTTTATTTCGTCATAATTTTATTGATACACTTAAATATTTTCTCCATATATTTGTTGTTAAAGACATGTGTTATCTCCCAAAGATTTTTTTTCAGCAGACAAATAACATTTCACTTATTCACAATAAAGCGTTCGATACAAACGGACTGCTGGGAGCAGCATTTGCAATATTCTTTATCAAAGATTATCACCGGACGGTGAACGCGTTAATCGTCTGCCAATGCCCGCCTTTGTTTTTCTTTAGCCTAACACTAGCGCTCATGGTTACAGTTAACGCACTTAAGCAGTTTAAAAGTAAAGATACATGGAGATAAAAACCTTCAAATGTCTAAACAATGTCCATGCTTGGGCAATGAGTGGATAAAAGTAAATATTGAGTAAATGAAGGGTGAACCTTGCACCCTTCATTTGAAAATAAAGACGACAAAACACCACGCGTAAACGGTGGGAAAATATTATACGATACCATCAACTGATCATATTTCTGCCAGAACAAAACCATTTTGGGTAAAAAGATAGTTTTAAAGGTCACTATATGCATGGGCATGCATCACTGAAACGCCGAGTTTGATATGTTTATTTAAATTCTAACTTTCTTATTCAACATGGAGATAGATTCTGATATTTCACAAAAGTCCAACACATAGAAGACATTTTTAGATAGAAACGGCACTACTTTCATTTTAAGCACAAACACACCGCGCAAAATAATGATATCTATTATTTAAATCAATGAAAATATGATAAGTCTTGGATGTGTTTGTAATAATATGTCACATGTGTTTATTATGTGGTTAGAATGTTGGCGGAAATAGTGATTTGTCTTTGCCATCAGTAATTGCTCTCGGTCAGCCCAAGGTCTTTCAAATAGACTCTAGCCGGCCTTTCCGTCCGTTCAGTCAAGACTGTCTTAAATAATGTTGGGTATTTAGCCAAGTTACCTGGTTAATCCTGCTTGTCTCAAAGTTTTAAGCCATACATGTCTAAGTAACGCCTTCATACGGCAAAACTGCGATGGCTCAAATTTTAGAAATTTGATATTGAAATCACTCACACTGTCAACCAGACACATTTATTGGCAAATGTTAAAGCAAAAGACGATATTGAACAAAGCGAATTTTAATTTAGAGGTATGAAAAGTATCCATGTATAGAAGGCCCCTATACATGTTTCTCGAACAGGGTGTGACACCAACCATTCACGTACATAATTGTGTTATGATCTGTCGTGTACTATGTATCAGACAAAAATAGATGTGTTGTTTCTATGAATAGAAAAAACAAAAATGAGTAGTTTATAGCTTTAAAGAAGTTACTGAATAAAATTTTCGAGATGGTTGCCCAAGTGAATCCTTTCACAAATTTTCCCAGGCTTCGAAAATGAGAGTAAACCGCAGTTTTCTGTCTCGCACATTATTAACCGTGTCATTTATCCGCATTTAACATATTTTTACAGTACTAAACATGACACATTGTCTATTTTTTGTTTTTTGTTTTTTTTTACAAATGACGGCTTATGAAGAGATATTTCATAAAAGATCCGTTTCGTGTTTAAACGACATTTTGAAAACGAAATGTACTTTACATGACTTATAAATGTTACACTAGCACCGGTAAATAGTCCGCGGGAAGCTGACATGTCGGCAGCATCAGTCTACTACTTTTACATAAATAATGAAAATGATGAGTTTAAAGGTTCCCTCAAAACATGGAGCTTCTGTTATAAAAATTTCTGCTCAAAGTAAACGTACAACATCGAAATAATTTCCTGATATTATTTACTTTAAACTGTAAAATGTATAATTAGACTGAGAAGACATTGCATCTGTGAGGCACAACGGCTAGTCCCGATTAGATACTGTTTAAAATGGTATAATATCAGTATTACAGGTCTTTAAACGATATACAATGTATTTAGAGAAACCATGTATTTTTACTCGATATGACTGTCCATGTTACCGTTTTCAGTCATTACAATTATAATCAGAAACCAAAGAAAATCATTCTAATTTAAACATAAATTTGCTATTATTCTGTATGAAATGCACGTTCCATTAGTCACTGTTACCACTAACTGTACATAAAGAAGATAGAAAAAACTTAGATCACTTCCCCCTGTTTTGTTGTATCATTTATTTTAAACCTTAAAAGATATAACACACTTAAAATTTTTAAACTTTAATGCTTGAATTTTTTTTTTACCTTTTAATAGCCACAGTTTTGTGATTTATAAACTATATTTCAAAAGACAGTAAAATGATACAAATTAGCTATATTTCTTCATTCAGTAATTTCACCCCAAACACATCAATTGATATCTTGCAATGTTTCAACACTTAACATAGAGGCAAGTATTTGCTGAAACTCTTACCTATTGTCAAAGATGTCCACTTAAACACAATTTGTCAAGAAACACTGGAAGGTTTCTGTATGAATTTCTGATATAGAGCAGTGTCATTTCAAGTGATTTGCCTTGTTAAACCTGAAGTAGGATTAATATAGAGTTTATGTCATCATTGGGCTTATAATGTGAACTTTCTCACGGTTTTACCTTCTCAATGTATACAGAGATCATTTCATTAAACATATGCAATATCCTAGACGTTTTGGAAACTGGCCATCCCACAGGGTGGTAGGGAGTTATTTTGGTCCATGTTGCAACAATGTCCCCTATCAGTTTCAGCAGCTAATGAGCCTTAATCTCGGTAATTTACTAATACTGATAAATAAGTCATGTTTAAGATTAGCCTATTACTCATACTCAAGATTATTTGAGAAAAATATAGCATTTTTCAGTTTTTTGAAAAAAGCTATTCTGATGTAAGATATTTAAAAATATCAAGACGTATATTTTCCATCAATTCATCTTTTATATAATTATAAGAATTTTTTTTTTTTTCATTTTTATTTTTTTTTTTTTTTTTTACAAAAGTGTGACACAAATTTAGATGTAAGTAATCCATTGTTGTTGTGTAAGATAAATGAGGACAATGAATTATCAAAGACAAGTGCAACATGTGATTTTTTTTAAACCTGAGACACCCTACATGACCTTCCTTATTTACCTATGATATCATCTGTCATTTTTGTTTGATTTTCTATATAATCGAATACCTTATACCGTGAGAAAATTGCGGAAGTTGTTTGCTTATGAGTGTAAGTTTAAATATAGCCAAAATATATGCATTACTAAAATTAAATGTTCTCCTTTTATGTGACATAGCATTTATAAGTGCAATTTTTGGGTGATATATACTGGTAACATAATGGATTTGTCCTGCTTTTAATATGGAATAGTCCATTTTAAAGGTTAAAGGTTAAATGTTTACACATAGATAATATCCAACTATATTTTAATGTAAGTGTTAACAACTTTAATATTTAAGATAATAGAGAGATGGTTTGAATAGTCATGTAGGTTAGTATGTACAGCACAGTTCAGGGTTTAAACACTGGTCTGGCTGCATGTTTTCCCATTCAACTGTTCATGCACATAGTTTACAAAATATTAGGATATTGTAACAAAATGAAAATCAGTGTCCCGAGGCAAATATCAGGAAGTTTTTTTTTATAGTTGCAGATACATTTGAAATTTCAGATGTATAAGGAACTCTTTTGTTCCTGCTACATGATCTAAATTTCAAAAACCTTGACACATAAGAAATCTTTAATTTTCTATTTCATTTCTAGTATCTTCAAAAAAAGTGATTCCTTTGATAAAAGTGTACTATAGGGTATTTGAATTTGATTTTTCACAAGTATGAAAAATTGGTGCAAGGTATGAACAGTATTTGAATATATGACTGATTATTTTTTGGTTCTATGATTATATTTTTGTTTTTGCCTCTAAATATCAGTGATTTTGTTAAGGTCAATTTTGGGCCCAAATTGAGCCCTAATCCCCTCCTTGAAAAAAATTATACATGTATGTTTCTCATACTGAGGAAAGCAGTATGTGCAGGGTTATTCTGGTGATTAATATTTTGAAATTGAATTGATAAGTTCTGATTGTTTCAAATATTGCTGATTTTGATGTTTTCCCCAAATTTCTGCTAACAACACATTTTCCCCACCTGATGGGCCCAGCCACCTTACCCCAAAATGTGCAAAATATCACTGTGAATTGATTTTCATGATTTACTGAACACTGAGAGGCCTATGGGTTTCATGATCTGTGGTTCTTATCCAACTGAAGTTGTGTAAATTTCATATTAATTTAAGATTTGAATAGTTCCTCAAAGTTTAAGGACTTTCAAATCAAAATACTAGAATTGAATTCAAATGTTAATAGCTTGTTTTCTTGAAATAAATTGTTAATTTTTTATCCCTTTTTTTTTAAGAAATAAAAAAAATCCTATAAAACCAAAGCACAACTCATTGTCTATAGTTAATACTATTTACCTAAAACCTTTTTGTATTTTAAGCATACAATTTTATGCTGACTGCTAGTTTCTTGGCAAAATGAATTTTATTATTCATACATGTGTAAAAATATATTATTTTCTTACCTTAATTAGTTTTAAAAAATCCAAAGTTTTACACAGATTTAAATCCTTATTTTTGAAATACACATCATTCATACTAAATTTTAACTTATTTAATAAAAAAGACATTAACACTTGATTATTATTGAAAAACAATCTAGTGGTTTAATTACTGTATTTTTCCCGATTTTGTATCCAAATTATAACATTTTCGTTCATTCTGAATTACTAGCATTCTTCATTTACCCATTCAACGCACAACTTGTTTGTTTAACAAGGTTTCGGTGTCGCACACATCTTAACTGATTTATCAAGGTTTAATTACAATTGTTTGATTTAAATTTTATTAATTGACAAAAAATAATTATCAGATATTTTCCACTGAACCTGTAACTGTTTGGCATTAAGCGTATTGTGCACGAAACAAAAGACCTCTCCCAAACGTTAGATGCCTCGATTGGCATATTTAAATCGAGTGTTAGTTATCTTCTATTATCATAGTAGCTTTATTAAAACAATGGATTGATACATGTTCGTTGAGGTCGATATTAAACAAACTTGTGAACTTTGTATAAAACAACATTTTGTTGATAACATTCCTAATTTCTGATTAACCTATGCGAGTTCATCAAACCAAGATGAACCATCGGTAACTATTTTTCTTTTGACTAATTATTGCACCGTTATCATAACTTGTTCGTATCATGTTACGTATAATCTATCGCAGGAGAAATTTAATTGATTCCACTTAAACTTTGTTGTAAGTTATTAAATCTTATTTTATATAAGAGAAAGTTTTGACTATAGAAAGAAATAATTTGTATTAAATAATTACCTTTCAAATGTCACTTTCAAGTTTTGGTCTGGAATTTTAATTTTTGATTATAAAAACTGACAGCTGATTTTGGGTACACAGTTCAGCAAGTAAATTATGAAATTTGTAAGAAATAAAGCTGACTTCATGCCTCCCATGCCTGTGCACTATGATTGATAAAAAGTCGTTTTTTTGCAATTACAAGCAACATACAGATTGTCATGAATCCATATTTAGTGTTCACCATACATTGAACTGTCCATCATAACTATCCACATGAGGCTTTCAACCATTAGTAACATCAGCAGAATTAATAGCCAGAAAATTTACCTCATTGACCATTCATTGTGGGACAGACTACAGCTAAAATTCTGCTCATTTCCTCCATATCCTCTACACTGCCCTATGAGGGGTGCGTGTATGTTTGGGTTCTTCGTTTAACCTCATACCATATGAGTGAGCTTGCTATGGGTGGTGGAGGCTGGGTTACAATTTACTGTTGCCGTGAACGAACACTCGTTAAATGTTAAACGTTGGACACAGGAGAAAGTTTGATCGCTTGTGCTAAAGCGTTAATTTATAGAACAATTGACTTTTTAAATCTGGTAAAAGCCTAATGACATTTTATTTTCATGAAACAAATGTAATTATAACATTTCTGTAGGTAAAGGTAACTGGTTGTCCTTGAATAGTAGAAATGACTAAACTTTTTAAGTTTTTACTGTTATTCTGGGTGCAATAAAGTAGGTCATCCCTCACTAAGTAACCTCTTATGACAGTAGAGCAATACCCTCTATACGGTAAAAAAAAGTGAAATTTTTTAACGTGTTATACTTACTACACTTAGACATTATTACACAGCGTGTTACTTGAGTATTACATTGTTATTTTCATATGAAATGATAATTAATCTGCTGCAAGATGTCTTGTTGTAATGCCAGTAGTGTCTTACTATCTCTCTCTGTTTACAGATTGTGCCGTTATTTTTGCAGTTTTGGCACCTACTGTACGCATTTATTGAGGTACTTCACTATTAACAGTGACAATAACTTTTAGGGAGGAGTACTGACCTAGATTCTTCCATTTTCTATTTTTTGTCCGCGATGCATTAAGGAAGGGTGCTTTTGTTATTTGTTTGTGATTTTTGTTATTATCGTTGTTTGTGATACACCTTCTTGAATCATTTAATGTATATTTGTTGTGTTATCATGCCCTGATAATGAAAAGCAAGATTTTGGATTTTGTCCGTCTGCCAGATCTGCTTTGTCTTTTATTTCTCTGAATGCTTGTCTTTGATGGCATAGTTTTTTCTCCCCCCTGTGATTAATTATCCCCCGCCGATGAAATCGGGAGGGGGATATAGTTTTGGCGTTCTCCGTCCGTCCGTCCATCCATCCGTCCGTCCGAATTTTGTTTCCGGAGTAGTTCTCTGCAACTACTGGCTGGAATTCAACGAAACTTTATGGGAATCATCAATATCAAGAGGAGATGCGCATATCGTCGGCTTGTTCCGGTCCGACCCTTTAACTCAGAGTTATGGCCCTTGATTAGTTATGTAGTATGCATATAGAGTAAAAATTGTTTCCGGAGTAGTTCTTTGCAACTACTGGCTGGAATTCAACGAAACTTTATGGGAATCATCAATATCAAAAGGAGAAGCGCATATTAACGGCTTGTTCCGGTCAGACACTTTAACTCAGAGTTATGGCCCTTGATTAGTTATGTAGTATGCATATAGAGTAAAAATCGTTTCCGCACTACTTCTCTGCAACTACTGGCTGGAATTCAACGAAACTTAATGGAAATCATCAATACCAAGAGGAGATGCTCATATCGTCGGCTTGTTCCGGTCAGACACTTTAACTCAGAGTTATGGCCCTTGATTAGTTATGCAGTATGCATATGGAGAAAAAATCGTTTCCGCGCTACTTCTCTGCAACTACTGGCTGGAATTCAACGAAACTTTATGGGAACCTTCAATACCAAGAGGAGATGCGCATATCGTCGGCTTGTTCGGGTCAGACACTTTAACTCAGAGTTATGGCCCTTGATTAGTTATGCAATATGCATATGGAGTAAAAATCGTTTCCGCGCTAGTTCTCTGCAACTACTGGCTGGAATTCAACGAAACTTTATGGGATACTAAGAGGAGATGTGCATATAGTCGCCTTGTTCCAGTCAGATACTTATAACTCAGATTTATGGCCCTTGATTAGTTATGTAGTATGCATACATCTCATTGGCATTTCCAGATTTTACTATTTAACACAAAGTTATGGCTCTGTTATTGCCCTGAATATTTATCAAGTTCAAAGAATATTACTGTTTATGCCATGATTAATATATAAATAAAGCCTTATGTCTTCAGTTGTTGTGTTAATAATAACCAGTACTCGGTGGGGGATATAAATTCAACGAATTTGCTTGTTGGTTACTAATGCTAGCCTTCATTTCAGAATAATTCAATGCTATTCTAATTTTATCTTGTATTAAATCTTTATCTGCTGAAACTGAAAGTGTATAGCCACTGCCAACAGTATAGAACCAGGGTAGCGTGCACATTTGTGCCGTCTGACCAGACTCTAAACTGTTGTATGCTCAGTTTTAGTATTTTGATATTGAAATCCCTAAATTTTTAAATGGACTGTTCTAAATTCAAAGCAGGGCAAGTCCATTTCACAATTCCAGGACGTAAAGGGTGAAGATACATGTTGTTTCACGGATTATTAGCTGTAATAAGTTATAGTTATATTGATAAAATGGAATTGAGGTATGTGGAAAAAAAGGTAACATAAAAGTAGTTTATTATGTTACCTGTTCTTGTCTCATAACAAGAACAAGTGTAAGGGTACAAAAACATTGTTTACATTGTATATTTACATTTTCCAGCAGATCTTGAGATTGTCGTACATGTACATGAACAACTTGTACTGACAGTACTCTACTGTTGTACATGAGCTACTGGCATTTTATTGTTGTATATGAAATACTTATACTCTAATGTTGTACATGAACTACTGATACTCTATTGTTGTACATGAAGTACTGGCACTCTTGTTGTACATGAACTACTGGTACTGTATTGTTGTACATGAACTACTGATACTCTATTGTTGTACATGAAGTACTGGCACTCTAGTGTTGTACATGAGCTACTGAAACTCTAGTGTTGTACATGAACTACTGATACTCTATTGTTGTACATGAACTACTGGAACTCTATTGTTGTAGATGAACTTCTGGTACTCTATTGTTGTACATGAACTACTGGTACTCTATCTTTGTACATTAACTACTGGCACTCTATTGTTGTACATGAAATACTTGGTCTTTAAAATTTAGAATTGTCTAGTGTTTATTGTTATTTTCAGGAATTCTTCAATGATATTTTTGAGAATGTCAAGCTTCAAGATCAATGGACGCCAAAAAGAGCAGGAGACTGGCTAAGTAGCCATAAGAGTTTGGTCTTTTCTTTACATGTGACACTTCAAGCCTTACCAAAAGCCTTTAAATAGGTAGGTTATTTTTAATTTTTTCTATTTCAGCAGAAAATATATTTGATGAGAATGTTGCAAATACTCTGACCTTGAACTTTGCCAGGGTTCTTGGCATGATATCTGATATATACACATTCCTATAGCAGGATTTTGTCATTCTTGTTTGTTTTGTTTTTTATATTGTGTGAGATATTTACAAGTATTACAGATTTTTACTTTCATGTGTCACTTTATATATGAAGAAACTATTTCCTTTTTTAAGGCAAAATACATGCCATGATATAAAATTTTTGGTGGTATCACATTAATATAATAAAACTATTGGTGAATTAAAGATTTGTTTAACAAACGATGCAATAGAATCGATTGAATTTGAAATACATCCAAATATAGTTTGTGTAAATGTATCTCTTTCTATGGGTTTGACTTCTGCTTAATAAAAAAGACACACTGTGAATTTGCTATGTAGTTAACTGACAGAAAACTGGTAGACTATGGAAAATGCCCATTTGCCCAGAAGTAATGCAAAGGCAGTCAAATGTGGTCCTTTGCCTCCAATAAATTTTGAAAGTTATCATTTAATGTTGTATCTTCTAGACAAACTTATAAAAGAAAACGGGAAAGATATTGTCTGTTGGTGAGGAGGGAGTACTTGAAGGAGAAGCTTATGCCGGTAATGCATTCTTGGAGTAAACTTTTTGGTATGCAAATTGAAGCATAATCGTAAACCTAATGTCATAATGTACCTGCCGCTGGGAATTTATTGTCCGTAATTGTTTCTTTATTATTTAATTACGTAATTAAAGCCAATATCACGTGCTAGGATAGTTTATGTCATTGCAAAAATTACGTTTCATGTCCTGTAGAAGCCGCGAAAGCTTGCTGGAATGCTATTGTATAATGTGACCTACTTATAGATGTCAACAAACGAAGCAAGTATTCAGTGTATATGAGTCGTAACTAAGTATAATTGTCATTCATGAAGACTTGGCGACGAAAAGCGACGTTTGTGTGTTGGAGAATGCTATGTTGGACATGAAATAGAATTTGTTACATTTATGTTAATTAACGTAGAAGACTTGGATCGAACAAATGACATCACGTCTGGGCTGACAACCAGCTACCGACGACTGCTTGGCGGTTAAATAATTGCTTTGGACTTTGCTTGGCAGATTAATGGAACATTAAGTTAATCATAATGATTTTTGTTTTCTGTTGAAAAAAACTTTTATAATCTTTCTTTTATTCTTTGGAATACCTATTACATGACATGACATTGTACTATTGCTTGAGTACAAAAATGAAAATTTTCTTGTCATCAAATATAGTCGAATGCACAAGATTATATATATTTGATAAGACATGAACAGCCTAGTCAATAGGTTTCAGGCTCGAACTTTGTCAGCACACATGGTATATGTTCCGCTATCACTTGTACATGTACATGTATATAAATGAAGAAGCAAAGGGTATTACACGAACACGAGTTTGATTATCATGACCATACATATATTTATACTTTGAGATAATGATTGGAACTGTTCATTATTAGTTCTTAGGCTGTTAGCAGCAACTGGTTCTGCCCATATGACCAATGCAGATAACGAATAACCAGTTAACATGCCATCTGATTATGGTCTGCACTGTTTGCTATTCAGTACGCATTTTGAAATTTTCCCTAAAAATGATAAATGGTTTTGCCCTGATTGAATTATGGACAAGTCCATTTAAGATATTCAGCTGGGTAAGTGTTAAGGTAGAGGGTTTTGATATCAAAATGCTTAATTTAAAGTAGTCAACATTATAGGGTGTTGTCATTGTGAACAGATGTGTTGACTGTCATGCATCTATTCTGGTGGCATCAATAAATCACTACTGATTCAAGAATTCAAAGCAAAATGCAAGAATTCACTACTTAAGCTTAAGATGAAGCCAGAAGTGTCCTTAATTAAAGGGATTGTGCATTTCATCTTTGTTCAGCACTTAGAAATCTGTATATTTCATAACTCAAAAGGTTGTTTATTTGTACAAATAACTTTTTTTCCTTTCAACCGATTACAGATAAAAGTAAACAATTCAAGATTTTGCGCGTGTGTGTTATAATTAATTTACAGCTTAAGGCTTGGCTGCCTGAGAAGAGAATGGGAAAAAAAAGCGCTACGAAAAGTTGCAAAACACTTTTTGAATGCTTCACATCCCATGGATGAAAATGAATCAATTATTTCTATTTCCAATGGCACTAAAACTATGAAGTGTACTCGTTCAGAAATTTGCAGCACTTGAGGCTTATGATCTTGGGCTTTGAATTTATCATGTATTCAATGGTAACATGCCAAGTTATGCAGATTGTAAATAGCGAAAGCATACCTCCGGGATCAATACCTACAATGATGCAATATCTACAACGTAACGATGTTTTGTTAAGGGATCGTGTTTTCACATTGAACGTTTTTTGGGATCTGCGGAGGTATTTAGAAATTTCACCAAATGAACCTGCTGCAATGGTATTGTTATGGTAAAGCTATTGTAGTAGTGTAAAGAAGTTAGACGAAGAGGTTGATGTTGTCTGTAGTATTTGAGCGAAATTTTGTTTTACATGTACCTGATCAGGAATGAATCTAAGGCAGGATGGGTATCTTCATCATTAGGTGAATATTTTAGAACTTTAATATTAGTTTATGACAGTTTCAAGTATTGATGAATATTTTTTTTGGATAGATGTACCATTGTTTCAGGCAGTGCATTTTTTTAAGAAAAGAAAAAAAAGTCTTATTTGAAATCAAAGTTATCAGGTTGTTTTTTGTGTACGTTTAACAGCTCATCTGAAATGTTATCGGCACATTTTGTTCAGAAAACGTGATGGCTTACATACAACGTGCCTGTAGAAAAACAGCTGCTTTTGCAACTGTTAGCTCGAATACAATAAATGATCAGATCCAGGTCTGTTTGATAATCCGGATCATAAAAAACGTAAACAAGATGCGCTGTCACTCAGTTTTTGCATAATTTTCTGTATATTGACAGGAATGGCTGACATTGTATCATGTTTATCACAGATGAACCAGATCTGTTGATCTTTCACAGCCCAGATTGCTGCCATCGAAAAACAGAAACACTCAGCACTTACTGTTCTTTATCATAGAATTGTTGCAAATAAACGAAAAACAATGTTTTTTACTTATTTGATTGTTGAAAGCTGTATTCGTCTTGCTTTCAACTGCATTCAATCTGGACTTAAAACTAGTTCTTAGGGCTACAACTGCTTTTGATTTCTAAAACCGACCATGAAACTTACTACTTGTAGTTTTTATGACAGCAACTGCTTTTGATTTCTAAAACCAAACTTGAAACTTGACTACAATTAGTTCTTTTGGCAGCAACTGCTTTTGATTTCTGAAGCCGGACTTGAAACTAGTTCTTCTGGCTGTAACTGCTTTTGAGATTTGCAGCTGGGACATAAAACAATTTGTATTGACTTATCTATGAGTCCTTTTGATATCTGCAGTCATGTCTTGAACAATTGTATAAAAATAAATGTTGTCTTTAAAAAGCTGTATCCATCAATAATTATAATTCCTTCATATTTCCTTTTTCTAACACTGCAGGTCTAACTTGAAACTAGAGTTCAGTCATTGACTTCATAATTTAAGCTGACTTTTCAGGCCCAACTCTTCATGAAAAGATGTTTTCTTACAATTTCTGTGGTTTTCCTATATGAACACTAAAAAAAACACAACCTCATTCATTGGCCTACTGTTTATACAGTTTAGGTAAGGATGGGTGCTTTTCTGAGCTTGCATTAAATTTATGTTTAACACTGATAAATGACTAACATTAATGGTATATAAAACTGTAGACAGTGCCAAGTTTTGATGAAATTCTATTGTCTAATGTATCTGTTCTCACACAATTGTTAATTTCAGATTTTCTTATCCATGCATTTACTATTCATATTTTAGGCCAGATGCCAACGTTAATTTCTGTGAAAGAAGCGTGAAAATGGATGCCAAAAAAACTGAAAATTTCATTTTAGAACATTTTAAATTGATGAAATTGACTGGTCGTCACATCCTTCTACAAAGATGAAAACGACTGGTTGCCACATCCTTTTACAGAGATGAACAGGACTGGTAGCCATATCCTTTTACAGAGATGAAAAGGACTGGTAGCCATATCCTGTTACAAAGATGAAACAGACTGGTTGCCACAACCTTTTACAGAAATGAAATTGACTGGTAGTCACATCCTTTAACAGAGATGAAATGGACTGGTTGTCAAAAGAGATTAAACAGACTGGTTGCCTCATCCTTTTACAGAAATGAAATTGACTGGTAGTCACATCCTTTAACAGAGATGAAATGGACTGGTAGCAAACAGAGATGAAATTGGATGGTTGCCACTTCCTTTTACAGAGATGAAATGGACTGGTTTTCACATCCTTTTACAGAAATGAAATGGACTGGTTGTCTTAGCTCTTAGAGAGACAAAATGGACTTGCCATTCGGACTTTACCAATTATTTTGCACATGGCAGAATTATCCTTGAACATTTTGGTAATTATTCAGAAAGTTTTGAAAATAAAGTTTACAAAATCTTTTATCATACCATACTGACTGATTGCTCAAGCTTTTTTTTACTTAATTTTGTTTAGTATAGCAGACTGCACTAATAAATTGATTAGAATATTTGAAGGTATCAAAGAATTTAAATAAAACAAAAGTTAATAAACTAAATCTTCACAGAATTATATGCCAGATACATGTATGCCAGTACTGTCCATAGATGGAGTTACATTTTTCCAAATGGTGCAGTGCAGTTGCATGGGAAATTACTTGTTTTCAATTTGTTCCTCAATCAATTACAGTTTTCTCAGGAAAATACTGTGCCAGAATTTGTTACACACACAAAGTATACTTGTTGAAAACCTTCAATTACACTAGTTCATCATTAAATCAGTTTTAAAAGATAAGAAATTTTGACATAAGATAAAATTTGGCACAGGTAATCTCCGAGAAGAGAACCATGTGAAAATCAGTCTACCATTTTAATAGGCTGACAGTAATTTTCTAGTTTTTCCAACAGAAAACTGATATGTATTTAGAGTACTTGAATTTGGCAATAGGGGTACAGGTAAAATGACTGTAGAATAAAATGATAATGATGTTGTTGTCATCATACCTCATGGCTTCAGATGACTTCTTACTAAAAGGTTTTTGCACTAAGATAGGCAAGGGTGATTTAGTCCTATGTGTTGTTAAAGATGGGAGGATATCTATAAACAACATATCTCTTTGATGGATATTTGGATAATATTCAGAAATAAAGATTAATGGATTAGAAGCACATCTCAAAGAGGTGATTTGTAGCTTTGTACTTATCATTTTGATGTTTTAACTTCACATACAACTTACTGCTTTAGGAGGAATAAGCATTTAAGAAGAAAACATCAAACTTTAAGATTTACATCATTGTTGTAACAAGAGTTGTTATGAAAATTTAAATTTCATGGTCGCTTTATAATTATTGGTGAAGATATATGGTAGGTTTTTCATTACACTGGACATGAGCCTGAGACTGGTTTGAACATTGTAATTTAACAGGCCTTAAGGTCAGTTGGATGAGTCGGTCACTTGATGTCAACTGGATGACTTCATGAATTGACACGCTTGATGGCGCCATCACTTGACACCAGTAGAATAGCACTATCACTTGACACCATTTAATAGCACCATCACTTGACACCAGTTTGATAGTATCATCACTTGACACCATTTAATGACACCATCACTTTACACTAATTTGATGGCACCTTCACTTGACATCAACTGGATGTTGTCATCACTTGACATTGTTCACCTTTCAGATTAGCATAGTAGTGCTTGATAAAATTAAAATAGCTAAATAGGGAATTACTAAAGTATTTAAACTAATACGAGAGGAACACATGACAAAGTTGGAACAAGTTAAACAAAATTGTAAAAACCTACAAGTATGTGTATGCACTTCTTTTTTTTTCAAGGTGAAAACAGGGAATAGAATGGAGTTGAATCTTTAATTTAAGATTTACTTTTTCCAAATATTCCATCTACGGTATCAATTAAAATGTAAAAGATACCCTGTAAGCTCAGAGATGGTTTTTGTGCATTTAGTATTAATTTTAATGTACTTTTTTTTCTGTCGGCTCTTACTACGTTGTGGCAGTTATCACGTTAGTAGATAGAGACAATAGATCTTGTACTGTGTAGTACTGCAAAAGCTGATGTTTTATTATTTTGACATGAATCGCAAGATGTTGAATAAATTCCAGATTTACATGAGTATTTTTAGTAACAATCCGATACGTTTTGGAAGAAGATAAAATGATGGCGACAATCGTCTCGCTTGCATGATAAAATATTTTAACGCTGCTACAAAATAATAAAGTTACGTAATTTAGGCTTGCTATCATTTAAAAGTACGTATGCATTCCTGGATTCTATCCAAGATAACATGTAATTTATCTAATTGTTAATGCACGAAGCTATTAATGTTTTAAATAGATTTTAAAGCCATGAAATTGTTTCAAGTTTTAAATGTACAGTTAACTTACGAAAAGTAGCAAAGAAAAAAGGACTAGATGGAAAATAAATGGAAAGCAAGAAAGTGGTATCTTCTCAATCATAATATAAATTGTTTAATATCAGTATTTATCCTTGCGTAAAACATCCTTTAATTTATTTCGGAGTTGAAAATATCTTAGGACGGAAGCAAAATCTTTGATGGATTGGGAATAAATTAAGAAATCTGCATCCATTAATTGTGTATTAGTATAAAACTGGGAAATGAATTTTTGTTCAGTGTTGAATTAGTATTGGCTAAACAAATAAAAAAAAACGAAATTGTTCAAAACAAAAGTTTTCTAAGTACAATGATTTTCCATGATGTAAGCAGCGTAGTGATTGATTAGAATAAGAGAAAGATATGAGAATAAGTTCTTATTTTTTACCATCTATCACTGTGTTGATCTGGTATAAACATGAAGCATTACAATGTATTATTGGCTACTTACTCAAAAGATTGATTCACACTTCTGCTATCTTAGGACAGAATGATAAATGAACATTTTTTCTACAGAGTTCATCTAGTGCAGTGATGTTCTCAGTTTCCTTTAGCTTTAAAACATAAAATTTCTTTCCATAGTAACTGGTTTCTTTCAAGATTTATTTTCAATTTGAAATGTTGGCGAAGGTTGGGTAATCAAAATTACCTCAGCAACTTCTGGACTCAGTCAAAATAGAATTAAATAGATGTAGAATATAGATAAATCAAACAAATCTCATAGACTTGCTGGTGAAATAGGGTTGTTTAAAAAGGAATAATTGGCCGTGTGTGGGCTGATAGGTATTGATAAATGTATCTTGAAAATCTTTATGAAAATGTTTTTAGTCCTGCAATCTATGGTATTGATAATGTTTTCAGTTTACTTTCCTATAAAAAGTTTTTATGCATTCTGAAATTTTTTTTGACATGTTTCTGAGAACCAGTATTTGATGATTTAGAAAAGTTGTAATGGGCTGTGGAATAGCTGTATAGCAGGCAATGCATAGCTTTGAGGCAGGTACCTTTCACACTTTGAATATTAGTGGGCACTGATTGCTTGCATACAGTGTTACTTATAGTCCCCAGCCAGCCAGCTCATCTGTGCAGTTCAAGCAAAACTCAATGTATTGCTGCCCAGTTTTAATATTTTAAAATGAATGGTCTTTAACTTGTGAATTCATGAAATGGACTTTACCAGTGTCCAGCTTTTGGAATCGTCCATTATCATTTTTGGGATATTAGGACGAAAGTTTAGTTAGACTCAGGTCTGGTTCTACACTGGTGGCATTGACCTAATTACTTTTGGTTCCAGCACTGGATATATACAGCACTGCATGACAATTACACTAGCTTTGTAACATTATGTACAATGTATATGAAAATGTTAAGTAAATGTTAACTTTTATGATGTTTTATTTGTTTAGATTACTAATAACGTTTAATTTTTCTTATTATTTTGTTTTCTGCAGCTATTGAATGAGAACACATCAGATATTGTTGTAGATAATAAGGTAGCTGAGTGAATGGACAATAGATGACAGCTGATTGGCTGAGAAACAAGTATGATTGATATACAAGAAGCAACAACAACAAAAACAACAGAGAGGTAGTCAATAATTCTCTATATCTGTAAGATAATTGGTATTTAACCCTTCTCCCACCTAAATATTTTAAATGGACTTATCTCGCTTTCAGTCTGGACAAAACTATTTATTACTTTTAGGGAAAAATGTCAAAATAAGAAAACAGTGCAGGCAAGCTTCAAGGGAAACGGTCGCCTAGTGGTTAAGGTACCTGCCTCTAATACCAAGGATCATGGGTTCGAGTCCTACTTAGATCACGACCATGTTTCTTCATATGACACCAGTACTGGTTGGTACCAGGAAGCGGACTCAAAAGTGATTAATATAAGTTGAAAGAACTTGTTTAGCAATCAAGCTCAAATAAATATGTTAAGACTACTGAGTGCAGGCAATGATCAGAGAGAAAAGATATGCTGACTGATCTTGGCCTGCAATGGTCACATAGTTAGATTCTGTAGCAGTCTAAGAGTTAATTTGAGATCTAATAGCAATAAGGGAAGACTTTTGCAGCTATTATTTAATCTGGCCAGCCTACTATGCAGTATGGCTAGTCTCTGATATTGTCTGTTTTAATATAATTTTTTCATAATCAAAATTCTCAAAGCTTACAATGGACTGTTCCAAATTCAAAGCCGGGTAAGTCAATTAAATTGAGTAAGCAGGATAGGAGTTTAAAGATACACTTGCTTTATTTTATATGAACACCTTACAGGTAAAGAAGACTTGTTTACATGGAAAAAATGTTGGCCTTGAAGAGTTCCTCAGCATGTGATTTTTATGTAAGAAAATCCAGGTAATTTTTTTATTGGAAAAATATTTACATGCTTTGTAAATGTCTTAGTTATTTTCATATCTTCTGATTTGAGTATCTAAATAGCTAGATACTTATTTTTTTTAAAAAACAAACAACCCATCTCCCCCCCAAAAAAACAAAAACAAACAAAAAAACAACAAGAAAAAAAAACAAACAAGAAAAAAAACAACAATAAATCATTCAAATAAATGTAAAAACTAACTTGCTGGAACCAAAAGTGATTAGCCTTTGCAGCCAGTATAGTGCCAGGCCAGCCTGCATATTTCTTTACACTTTGTCAACAGAGTTTTAGCCAGTCTTAATGACAGTACTCATGTGCTGGCAGTTTATAGCAATATGTTACAGAAAGTACAAAATACATTGGACAGTATAGTTTGTAAGATAGGTAAAGGGACTTTACTGTTTATGTGTACTGTGCAAGTAGTTATTTTATTTTGAGTGTCATTTTGATGCAGGTGGTTGTTTTAAAAAAGTGAAATTTTCTCTTAGTATGAAACTTGTGTGCAATTGAAACTGTGTAATATGAAATTAAGAAAAATTTAATGTCAAATAAAATTATATGACAATGAATATTATTTCCAGATGGTCGTTATATAGGACAGGTAAAAAACGGGGAAAAAAATGAAATTTTTAATGTAAAACTTTTAGCGGACACTTACCTTATATCAGTAGTTATAATTCCAGAAATTGCTTCCGTATTTAGATTGTCACTCATTGAATAAAAAATCCACAAACTAAAAGTTTTTTTTGATTTTGTAAACATTCACAATTTTGTGATAAAGCAGGAAAATAAAGTGATTTCTCAAGCATTCTTCTATTACGTCCTAATCTCGAACATAGCTTCCTCCTCCAGTATATTATATATCTTCTCTTCTCTAATTCCAGATCTAATCCGCATAATTTTCAGAGAACAGGAACAGAGCCTTGTTGCTTGCTAGATTTACCTATGGAATAAACAGTAGATGAAAACAGTAAAGAGGAAAAAAAAATCCAAGCAGAAAATGTAAAGGTTGCTCAATCTACTGCAAAATGCTCGAGATTTTGTGCATGGGTTTTCCAAGACCAGGTGAGTGTTACCGCATAAGTTCTGGAAAGCTTAAAAAAAAACAAAAAAAAACCTAAAATTTTTTATAACGTAATGTGAATTCAGGTAGAATATCGGTTTTCTAGTCAAGATTTTTATTCTCGGCACTTTTGCAAAAGAAATGAATGAAAAACTTTATTTGTTTGAATAACATTTTTTTTTTTGCTTGTCTGCTTTTGAATTAGAAGTGTGCTACATTTTCTCAGTAATTTCTTCAATTAGACTTTCCCTTGATGATGATTCATTACCCAGACTTAATAGTTCATGGTATATTAGACAATTTAGGTTCAACAAATATTTCTAGAAATAAAAAAAAGTTGAATTCTTAGATTTTTATAGCTTCACATACATTTGTAGATGAACATACTGAACAGTGCATTCATATGAAATTATTTACTATAATTTGTATTTTCTATATGAATACATTAATAGACAAAGCTACATGTAACTTGGTGGAAAGGTCGAGAAGCTGACGACCATACAGAATGGATCAAAGGTCTGTTTCAGAGAGGTCAGGGTCAAATTAAAAGAGTTGAAAGGTGAATACTTTAGATAGAACCCGTTTATTTTGACAAATTTACAATTACAAGTACTTGTACTTATTTTTAATTTCTTGGCACAAAATGCTTACAATAATCAGAGAGGTGTGCATAAATCTATCGCTTTTACTCAAACGTAAAGGTCTGATGTTAAAGTCCCAATTTCAACCGTGTATCTTGTTTTCTATTAGCATAGAGCGAGGTCCGGACAACAACTGCCTATTTTAAAGAAATATTTTGCTTGTTTATTCATACTGCTTGAAAAAAATTAGGAAGACATGGTGATGTGATTTTGCGATGAAATAGTAGGGGTGTAAATGATATGCGAAATTCTTTATGTTGGCCGTTATTGGTTGATATGATAAATTAATGGATATTTTTATGATATTGATAACCTGACGTTTAATATCAACAGATAGATTGTTTTATGGGCTTAAAAATCACTCCAAACTGATTTGTTAGTGAGTTATCAATAAAAATTTGTGTACAAATATTGGTAGAATGACTTTTTCTCATGGGAAAAAGGAACTTTTTGTAATGAATTTGGTAGGCAGTCCATAGGTGAATTATGACTGATTGATCTTAAGGTCATAGATTATACAGTTAGGGCAGTATTGCTTTAGTCAGGGCAAAGTGTTATCATTTTTTTACAGGTTTTTTGGCAATCCATAAAAAAAGGTGATAACTAGTTAATATATATCAATTGGGGATTTAAGCCAATTTTATCTTACAAGGGTGTTACATTTAATGCATTGTAAATAAATTCAACAAGCTTGTATGCTAATTTGTTAATGGGGCATTGATAAATCCATATAGAAAATGTGTCAATTTCAGCAGAAATAAAAGAATGCTGTCTTGCCAGGCTCTATATCTATATACACGTGTATATCAACATTTCAGTTTTTATTTTTTGATAACAAAATCCCTTTAACTGTCAATGGACTGTTCCAAATTCAAAGCAGGGCAAGTCCATTACACAATTTTAGCTGGAGAAGGGTTTAAGAATAGTTACGAATAGTTTATGAAAGTACTTCAATAAATCCCAAGTTGAATTTAAATCTACTTTTGTTTCCCACAATCAGATTTTATAAAATTCTTGAGCTTTCTTTAATACATTGCAACACGAGAAGTATTTCATAAAAAAAAAAAATTTTGCAAAAAGGCCTGCGAAATAACTTGTTACATTTCTTACATTTGATATGTGAGAAATTTCTCACAATTTTATAAAAAGAAATTGTATTCACTTTCTTATAAAAGGATGATCTGTGAACTTGGTAACCAGGCATAAAGATTGTAGTCATTCTAAGCTTATATGTTATCAAATTTAATTGCGGAGTTATTTATGTTTCATTTAATACTGATATCTATTTCATGGTAAATCGAGTGAACAGTGTTGTAAAGAGTTCATGTAATATTGTCAATTTTCCTCTCACATGGTGGTAAATATTAAAATTCAGTTTCAGTTATAACTCTGTGCTTTTCTGTAAAACTGAGAAGGTAAACTAGTATTATAATTATACCAGTACTGGTGCCAGTATTAACCAGGAGTTGAGTCTTTGTTATAAGTACTGGATTCATTATTATACCAGTACTGATATCATATACCAGTACTGGAATCCTTGTAAACCAGTACTGGATTCATTATATATCAGTACTGGATTCAATATTTACCAGTACTGATATCATATACCAGTAATGGAACCCTTGTAAACCAGTATTGGATTCATTATATACCAGTACTTGATTCAATATTTGCCAGTACTGATATCATATACCAGTACTGGAACCCTTGTAAACCAGTATTGGATTCATTATATACCAGTACTTGATTCAATATTTGCCAGTACTGATATCATATACCAGTACTGGGAACCTATGTAAACCAGTAGTGGGTTCATTATATACTAGTACTTGATTTAATATTTACCAAAACTGATATCATATACCAGTACTGGGAACCTATGTAAACCAGTACTGGATTCATTATATACTAGTACTTGATTTAATATTTACCAAAACTGATATCATATACCAGTACTGGGAACCTATGTAAACCAGTACTGGATTCATTATATACTTTTACTTGATTCAGTATTTACCAGTACTGATATCATATATCGGTACTGGAATCCATGTAAACCAGTACTGGATTCATTATATACTAGTACTTGATTCAATATTTACCAGTACTAATATCATATACCAGTACTGGAATCCATGTAAACCAGCACTGGATTTATCATATACCAGTACTGGATTCAATATTTACCAGTACTGATATCATATACCAGTACTGGAATCCGTGTAAATCAGTACTGGATTCATTATATACTAGTACTGGATTCAATATTTACCAATACTTATCTTATGTTAAATACCAGTACTGGAATATTCAGTACATACTGGTAAAATAGACCAGTTCTTTTATCTTTCATACCAGTACTAAAGTCGTAAGATATGGTACTGTTTTAATTATTATAAAATAACTGTCCTAACTCATCTAGGTTTTGAGCCTGTGATAACTTAACTAACCGTAATGCACCCTGACAACAAAGCAAAAAATTCCTTATTATGAAAATATTAAAAATCTACACAGGAAAATTTGTATAAAAAATCTGGCTTGCAAACAAGGTGCTTATTTGGGTAACCTTACAGCAACTCCCCCCACCCCCACCCCAGATATATACATAAATTAAATTAAAAGTTACTTTAAAGAAATAAACTTGGGGTAATAAAAGTTTCAGTCTGTATTAAGTTATAAAGAATAATGCAAATAAAGCCCACATAGTGTCCGAGACCATTTTGATACTGGTTTGTCGATATTTAATAAAGTCAGTATTTAATTTACAAAAACAGATCAGTAAAAAAGGCATTTAACAGATAAACAGCTCTATTCAATGTATCCCAAAATAATCCATTAAACCAATGTTCAACTTAAAACCTTATTTTAATTTTATCTCAAGTATCTAATGAACATAGACGTAAAGTTGTATTTTACAGTATTAAATTCTATTAAAAATGAAGTGATTGTTATCAATTTGATAAGGTTCTTATTGGAACCTATTATGTGCCGTTCAATGGATGTTATACGATACAAAATACAAGACATGTGAATGCACGTTAAGTTTTTCTTACTCTGAATACATACTTAATTTGTTTTAAATTCAAAATTTTAAAGTTTATGAATAAAGCTGAAGAAAAAAGGGATATCAGATTGGAATAAATTTAAAGAAGCCCATTGGATTGTACTGCATTTTTTTTGCCACTTATGACATCTTTGGTTCAAAAAAGGAAAAATAAGCATTCTTTTATTCATCAGTTTCTGCTTTGTAACTTAAAAGGTCAAGGTCATTTAGGATATGACCAAAGATAATAAAATGTTTAAATGATCTAAGGTCAAGGTTATTTATTGCAAAAAGTATTTTTGCAAAATGCAAGAACTTTGGTCTTATGACTGAGGACTTTCTAAACATAGATATATGAAATTAACAGTTAAAGTTTATGGGGACCAAGGAACTGGAAAATTAGTTTCAAGTTCATTTGCCAGATGCAAAAACAAACAAACAAAAAACAAGATAAAGGAAATTTAAAAATAGGGGTGTCCATGGCAAAGTGGTTAAGGGCCTTGACTTCCAACCACTTGCCCTCAAAGCTCGGGGTTGGAATCCTGACAGGGACACAAAGCAAAACAGGAATGTCATTATGGAGGTCATCATCAAGTTCAAGGTCAAATCTAGGTTAATATGTCAAGGTCATCTTTGACTTAACATTGATGGTGTTGAAATGCTTCAGAAAATATTTTTTGCTTGACCATTTGACCTTCAGTTTGGGTTGTCCTAGGTCAATGTTTTGTAAAAAGATATGTATGTCTACATACAATTGGTTAGATATTATTCCTTCACACAGTTATACAGTATATATGTTAAGTCACAATGATATATAGACAGATAGATGGTATTTAAATTTTAATTTTCTATGAGACTGTATTAAGAGACTCCCTGTCATATGTGACCTTTTTCTCAAGATCCCTTGGAAAGTCACATATGACAGTAGGGACTGTATTAAGATTAATCAGGTTTTTGATAAATTAAAAGATGCAAATTGCAACACTTGTGATGGAAAATTTATCTATCAGTGGTTATGATGCTAATAAAATACATGTATATTAAATAAAAAATGATCACCTGATGTAACAAGACATGTGTATATCATGCTAATCTGTTGCTTAAGAAGTTTGACCCTAAATTTTTTTGGGGAAAAAACCATATTTTCATTGAATTTTATAATCTGTCCATCCAATTCCCCCTCTCTCAGCTCTCCCTCCCCCATTTCTTTCTCCCATATTCTCCTCCTTCCCCCATTAATTCTATTCCTACTTATCCTTAAAGTGAACAATACACTGTCCACAAAACAATAACTTATGCATGCATGCTACATATTTGCAATTATAGTGATTGTCGATGAGCCGTAAAACCTGCAATTCTACCAACAGAACTCACATAAATAAATGCTGTAACTCGTTTCTTTGTAATAAAATTCTTCACATGATTATTAAAGAATACTCAAATTTGTGATTAGATAATTCGGCTAAAACTCTTTTATGTCATGGCTTAATTGTAAGAATTTGAGCCCGGAGTTATAAATGTAATATTCCTGTCTCCTATGCAATGTCTGTGCAAATAAATTACTCTCTCCCCCCACCCTCAAAAAAAAAAAAAAAAAAAAAAAAAAAAAATCTTAATTTAAAAGAAGTGGACAATAAAAAAAAATTTAATGCAAAAATAACCTAAAAAAAACTAGAAAAATATAATATCCCTTTTAAAAAGATACATTGTGTTTACATCTAAGCTTACCGTTTGGAAGAAATGTTAATCCAGCATATTTTGTCTAATTTGAATAATCCTTTGTTTACTTATTTATAATTAATCCTTTTTATATAATCCAATACATGAATAACAAAATAATTCGGTTATCATGAAAATTTTTCAATAATTTTTTTTTCTCCACTCCACCAAAATAATTCATCGAATCATTTAATCCACACGGTAATTAATTTTGAATACGTTCACGTTAAACTATGTAACTTATTTTCACGTCATTTCACCTGAGTGAAAGTACAAGTTGTATATATTTAATTAAAATTCATGTTTTTTGTTGTTGTTTTTTAAAAAAACACTTAACAAGAAAAAATTATTTTTGTTTTCACTTTTTTCTAAATATAAGAAAAAAATTAGATAAACTTAAAGCACGGTATATTTTAAACCTTTTATGTAAAGGATCACGTTGCATTATATCCAAGAAAGTCATCTCATTATGAGCGCTTTTTTGATTTTTCAGTGAAAAGTTCCCACGGTATAGCTTGACAAGGTTATTAATATGTTTTGGAATTTTTACGTGCATCAATGCGTCATAATTGTTGACAATTTATTAGCATTATATGCTTGTAAATTCTCGCGTTGATTACTGCCTTTGAACAGTTATAGACTTGATATCGGAACTTGATTATTTAAAACGATTATGGTAAAAAAGTAAATCGGCAATCTTATATAGACAAAATGACTATCGGATCATTTTAAAGGGATTCTAGCTGTAAGACTTGTTTATAATGACGGCAATTTAAATCTCATTACTTTGATCATAAACAACGAGTATAAGTTACAGAGGTTGACATTGTCATTTGGGTCATCGCAGATAAGTTACGAGGCCATGTATGCAATAATTTTGGTAATTCAGAAGAATGGTTTATGTGGTGATTGTAAAGGTTTAATGTATGTTTGATTCGTTGACCATTATATCTTAAGGTATTTGGGACCGCTTGCTGAAAAAAGTTTTTTTTAATTTTTTAGCTCGACTTTTTTTGAAAAAAAAGAGGTATTGTTACAGTCACTTTGACGTTGCCGTTCGCAAATTTTCACCTTGCTCATAACATTTTAAGTTTTTGGTGTTTTGTCTTCATATTTCGCCACAACAACCCTTTGGACAAGACCTTTCAGTAGACCAGATTAACCTTGACCTTCATCCATAAATGACCTTGACCTCCAAAGTCAAATGTTGAAACTTTGCTAGTATTTTGCTATTAGTGGCTATAACTTTGTTATTTTTGAATGGATTGTCTTCAAACTTGAACAAAATAATTTTTTAGGGTAGCTCTGTAATAATTTTTTAAGGATAGCCCGACAGACCTTATATTACTACCACTTAATGTAGAGCCTGCCCACCATGCAATAAATGTAGAGTCTGGCCTTTCTGCAATAATGTCAGGCATATGCTTTGATGTTTTTTTAAATGTTTGATGCACATTTAGTTAATGAAAGTATAAATTAATATTTCCACATTTAGTGCTATAGAATATTACAATGAACAGACATTGCATTGACTCTCTGTTATATTGAACCAAGTGCTCCAGTGTACACACAAAAAATACATTCTTTAAATGTCTATGAAATTTGATAGAAAGGTTTAATAGATAAACAAATCACTTAAAATATTTTGAGGCAAAGAAACACGTTTAACATCAAAACTGCATGGCTTGGTTTTTCGTGGCATGTAATTGTTAATCCCACTTCGATGTAGAAGTTTGTTTCTCTAAATATAGGTATTAAGGAAATGAAATTCCATCGGGAATTTAGGTATATTTGCAATTTCTGTCTTGTTTGTTTTGGCACAAAATTGTTATCTGTTTTGAAATAACTTAATATGGTATTGATTTTATACAGTTAAACTTGCTTAATCAGCATTAGACGATATTGAATATAAAATTTTGTCAATTTATAGAAGACATTATTGATATTAAGTGTTTGTCTGTCCGCCCTTAATTCATTCAAGTTTATAAAACCATATGCTACATTATTGTAGAAATTCTATGATATATATACACAAAATTTGTATGTAACATAATGTGCATATTGTTCATGTAGTTTTATGGCAGAGTTTAGAGTTATTGCACTTAAGGAGAGTTCTCTTTTAATATAGTTTTTGTTTTGTTCTAAATTGAGTTTTAGGTTTTAAGGTTGATCCACCATTATTGAGGTCATATGGTAATTTTACAACTTTAATTTGTGTAGGATGACCCTAAAGCCGTGACAGGTGACCTTTAGTGCATTAATTATATCAGGGTGTATTATTTCGCTATGACCTACGGTAAGATAGCTGGACGTTGTCAGTGCATGAAAACAATTGAAAACAATTCTCTTTATGTGGGAGGGAAGTATCGGGAAGTCATCGACTTTCACCTCTCGGTCATTGATTAACTGATTGATTGATTGATTGATTGATTGATGACTATAAGTATATTGGAATGATGATATACCTCACCTGTGATTCTATTTGTATATGGTTGATCAATGTACATAGAATGCTTTGTTTTACAAAATATAAGTTTTTACTTTACATTTCTCTGATAGATTTCAAAGATTGGTTTCCATAAAGGCAGCCTGGACTTATTATTCAGGATTGACTGTATGTATGAAAGAAGTGTCCATGAGAAAATAAAGAAAAATTAATGTTTGTAAAAAGTTATTGAAGTGACAGGTGCCCTAACTATATCTTGTCAAATTTGTCAGTAATTTTATTTTATTATTTCACTTATGATTAATAGATATAAATGGGCGAAATTTCATTATTTATGGCGAATGAAATATCTACTTGCTACAAACAGTGTGTGAACAAATGGTAACTGTGTCTCGATATAAAGACTACAATTGTACTTTAGTATACATTTATAAGTCAATATAGGTAATTAAAGCATGTCACTATATAGTACAGAACATAGTAATTGACTCAAAATAATTCAAAAGCTTTGGCTCAACTTTGACTAAAAAAAGATCCAAAAACTTTGACTCAATAAGAAAAAAATCCAAAAACTTAAACTCAAAAGAATCATAAAACTTTGACTCAAAAGGATAAAAAACTTTGACTTAAGAAATAATCCCAAAACTTTGACTCAAAAGAATCCCAAAAGAATCCCAAAACTTTTCAGCTTTGAGCTTAAATTATGAAAAAAGTTGTCAAATTTTACTGGTTTATTGTTCTGCAATAGAATTTTTTTATGCTCCCCGAAAAATTTCGCGGGAGCATATAGTCGGCGCCTTGTCTGTCAGTCCGTCTATCCGTCCGTCCGTCCGTTGTCTTGTCCGGAGTATAACTTGAAAACCCTTGGAGATAATTTGTTTAAACTTCATACAGTGGTAGAGGGCATTGAAGGCGAGTGCAGTGTCAAAGAACCATAACTCTATATTGCCCGGTTTTTTAATTATCTCCCCTGATAGAAAAATCTTGTCTGGGACATAACTCTAAAACTATAAGAGATATCAACATGAAACTTTGTAGGTGAATAGATCTCAATGGGTAGATGTGCAATGCATAAGAACAATAACTCTTTTTGGCCTAATTTTGGAGTTATTGCCCTTTGTTAAATTTAACACTTTGAACTTTGTCCGGAACATAACTCTAAAACTATAAGAGATATCTAGATGAAACATTGTAGGTAGATAGATCTCATTGAGTAGAAGTGCAGTGCAAAAGAACCATAACTCTGTTAAGCCTCATTTTTGAATTATCTCCCCTTTTAGAAAAATCTTGTCCAGGACATAGCTGAAAAACTATAAGCGATATCAACATGAAACTTTGTAGGTAGATATATCTCAATGGGTAGATGTGCAGTGCACAAGAATCATAACTGTGCATTGCCTAATTCTGGAGTTATTGCCCTTTGTTTATTTTTACTTTTTAAAGTTGTCCGGGACATAACTCAGAAACCATAAGAGATATCAACAAGAAACTTTGTAGGTTGATAGATGACTTTGATTAGAAGTGCAGTGCAAAGAACAGTAACTCTTCCTTGCCTAATTTTGGATTTTTGCACTTTGAACTTTTTCCACGACTACAAGAGGTGTACTTTCCTGTGTCCAAAACCTATTCGGGGAGCATCACCCGGCTCAAACCGGGCTCTTGTTTTTATCATCAATGCATCAAACCTGTAAGCCGCCCCAAGTTCCAGGATTTACGTTGCTTAAGATTCGTTTTTTTACATTTTTACATTAAAGGCTTTATAGGTAGCAAGTTCGAGTGCTCTAAATATTGATAAACTTTATTAAACGATCAATATTTTCTTAATGTCTTTTCTCACTTTAGAATAAATTTCTTAGATTTTATGGAATTATTTTGATGATATTTCGTTGAAGATTACAAGTTGATTGGCGAAATTCATGCAGGCATTGATGGTTTCATGAAAGATATGGATGATTTTTTGGTAATTTAACGTAATAGAAAAGCATTGACTTGACCCCATTAACACGCCTTTTAATGTTCCTATACCAACCACCGCAATCATTTGATGATTGTTAAAATTGAAAGTTAGATAGTTCCAGATAAAAAATGCTGTGCAAATGCTGTCTTCATAAAGGTATATTTGCTTTTTAGATATTAAACTTCGTTTTTTACTTCTGATTATTATTTCGTTCTTTGATATTAAAGTAGCGAAAACTATGTTCCTCCTGATTATTTCTTGCATTGATTAGAGAATAAGATAAAATAATCATGGTATATAGTTTCGCACTTTCATGCAGAATTTTTATGGGTATATTTATCAGTTTGTCGAAATTATTTTCAACAGCTTTTATGCAATAAATATAAAAAGTTGTATGTATTTTTTTTCTATTTCATTGTTTTGTCTTTGTATTAAAATTTATTAAGTAAATTAAATGATGTACATGTACATCAGAAATGAAAGGCTTTAGAACGTACCTTTTATTTAAAACTTGCTGAATTTGTGTAATGGAAATAGCCCATTCAAATTTAAAGGAATTTCAGTAATGAAGCACACAAATTGAGCTACCAATAGTATAGAGCCTGGTCATATAATACAGATTTGCAGGCTAACCCGGCTTTTATACTTAGGTGGCCAAGGCTAATCACTTTTTGATACAATTGGTTAAGGGTTTTAGTCTATATGTTCATAAGTGTTATAAAATGTTTTTATTATTTCAGAATGAAAACCATAAATCTGCATTATATGGTTATTTGTTGTTGCCATTGGAAACCCATATGGGTGACTAACAACTGTAAGTGACTTCATTTTTTGAAAAGAATAATTTTAGAAATTACTTTATACTATGAGAAAAAAAAAGATTTGTAAATAATTTTAGATGGAGTAGCTGGGGATTGAACTTGTATTTGTAGTCAAGGGTTGAAGCACTTGACCACTGTGCCATGGTACAACTTTGTGTTTTTAAAAGATACATATTGGATTATGATTTGCAACAAACAAATAAACAA